TTGAGGTCAGGTGTGTAAATATGTATTTAATGCTGGCAGTGCCAGGGCTTTCCTCTGAGTATCTGATAACTAAAGTGATTCTACCACCCGTAAAATATTGGAGCCGCTCACAAACACTGGAGCCGCTCCCTGGGGGGAGCACAATTTGGGTTCTTTGTCATGAGGTGGTCATGTTCTTCAGTATCACAAACCCTGCCTTTGCTTTCCACTAAATGCTTGCCAAAAGCTTTTAAGTCACTGAGACCCATATGTTACCACATGCTACTTGTTTCTTTTATTTTTTTAGGAATAGGACATATTTTATTTGAATCAATAAAATAGGTTTCTACTACGATACAAGAAATCTCCACAAAGTACCTGGAATACAGAGACATTAAATATGCTTCTTGTAAATCTCTCCTTCTCTTGTATATCCAAGTTATAAATTAAATAAATCAGAAAATCATAAATACACTTTTCAAGATACAGCAATTATTAGTTAGAAACATTAATAATCTCCTCTTCGCCTCCATTCTCATACTGCTTAAAGCTATTAATTAACAAATGAAATACTACGATACAGCTTTCTCAACAGACAAAACTCTTGCTGCCCTGGACTCTGTGTTGGGTGCTCTATGGGTCACGTTAGCTACAGGGGCAGGTACCACAAATGCTCACTGTCTTAATTACTCCAAATGCAGCAAATGGACTTTTTCCAGTGTCTGTCCATCTTCTTTATTTTTGCTTTGCTTAGGGAATGAGACCAAAAAAGGGAACTGGTGATTACTATTCTCCCTACTCCTTGAGTGTGTGCATTGCTGTGCAAGAGAGCAGTCCCACTGAATTTCCTAGGTTTACCTTCTGGCAGGATCTCTATGGGCTGGGGAGGGGGGTGTAGTGTGGTTGATGATATTTGTAAAAGACATTCCAGGAAAATTTTGGCCATGGCTCCAGCTTGGTTCAGTCATGGAGGACCTGATCTATGATTCTATGACCTGATGTTGGCAAGGTCACAGTGTCCGGACTATTACACAGGGGCAACTTTAAAGGTGGAGTGGACCCCCATGAGAAAACTGCTCTGGTGCTGTTCAGGTGTGTAACCTTCAGCGGGCATCGGCATTGCTCTCACACGCCGTGGCTGGCGACAGATGGTCAATACCGGGCCACCATTGCCTCTTCTCCTTGCCTTGCCAGCAGCTGGGGCCTTTCAGTGTGTGGTTAACGAGGAGTTGTGTTCTCCTTCTTTCCCAGGAGGAAGAAAGAAAAGCAGGAGAGCAAATCATCCCCCTGTCAGGCTGCTGCGCCAGAGAAGGACTTTTGCCTTTGGTAAGGAGGAGGGGAGAGTCTGTGTGATTTCTAGCTGCAAGGCTGTCCTCTCTGAGTTGTTGAGCACCTCTGAAGGAGAAGCCTGTGGCTGAAGCAGTGATGGACAGCTGAACGCAGCTGACAGATATTTTATGATGGGCTAGTGCCTCTCCCCTCCTTGGCAGACTCTGGACTGAGTTGGCTCTGGCCATATGAAAAGCCATAGTACCTTTTTTAAATGAGAACTTCCTTCCCCGTCCTACTATCTTCTCCAGCATGTCCAGCCCCATGCAGGTGTCCCCGGCTGCTCTCCTTGGAGCCACTGGGGACATTTGGTTTGTAAAGCTATGGGGCCGCTCCAGTTGCTTTCCCATTCCATAGACTTCGTTTGCTCAGGTTTTCAAGCTGCAAACCTTTCCTGTGTGCTGCTCCACCCTGCTCACTCCAAAGCCAGAGGACCTGGCTGCTTTAGCAGCCTTTCCCTCCCATCCAGGCGGTACCCTGCTACCTCTGAGCTGGTGACCCCTGACCGGGGATAACCGCCTGAGCCTGCAGCTCTGCAGGCTGTAATCCAAGGCTCCCTCAGTCCTGCGCTGTAAAAGAAATTCAGAATATGCTTTTTTCTAAGTCCGGGTTGAAGATGATCTTAGCACAAGCAGTGGATGAAGTCAGCAGGTACTCCAAAGGCAGAAGTTGCCCAGGTGGTTGTGGTAGGAGGGGAAGGAGCTGTAACCGCCGTTAACACTGCCGACGTATGGTTCAGACCTTTGGTGGGTTCGTGGCTCTGGAGTCTCCTCACCTCAGTACCGTGGCACTGTGTATGACAGTGTCATACTTCTCACTATGTTTTACTATGCTGGCTGCAGGCAAGCAAATTTCAGATGGGAGCTTCTTTCCTCTGCTTCTGTCATAGAGTAAGACCTTTATTTTTCATTTATGCTTCGGAGCACTGGCAGATTAGAGAAGATCGTCATTACTATGAGCAACAGGAGATACACTTCCTCCGATCTTATATTTAAAGTTTTGTATTCAGGCAAACCAAAGTCTTTTATGATAACCAGGGGAGCACTCATACGAGGCAAGTACTGTTCATGACTAATATAATACTGTCTGTAACACTGGTGAAACCTTTTTTGTAATTTTTTTTTTTTTCAGAGGAAAACCCAAGGGGCCATGACCAGCAATTTCTAAATTGAAAAAAATTTTGAGAAAAATTTTTGAGCAAATTCCATTAAATCCACCTATTCATGAGCACAGATCTCCTATATGCAAATATCTCACGTTTAGTCACCTAGTTGCACCATTTACATATTTTCTTTCCTCCTAGTATTTCGTGCACTTAGTGAACTATCCTGTACCACATAGGTAGAGAGGAAGTTGCTGACTATCAGTTAACATATAAGCAGGTTCTACGGAAGAAAGTATCTCTTGAGGTTATCCAGTTGCTCGTAGTTTGATCTGGCAGGACACTTTGAAACACCAATCACTTGTCACATAGCAAAGTTTGGTAAATGTGTGTTTGCAAACTTGCTCAGTGCTGACTCACCCGTTTTTTAAAAATGTTTGCATCTTTTACTCCTGTCTTGAAACATCAAAACTGAAGAAAAAAAGATGTTTAGCGTATGTCATTCAACCAAGCATATCGTAAGATGTGGGTTTTATCTCATGATATGAAAGGGGGAAGAGGACAAGCAGTGGTACACAACAAGCAGACCCCTGGGATTTAATGGCACTCTGTAATCGATCTGTTGCCTTGCAGGAATACACAAACCTCCTGGTAGGCTTTTCTTGTTGTGAGTCCGAGCTGATTCAGACAGGACATGTAAAGTGTTGAATGGGCCAGCAGTAGTTTCAGCATCGAGTCAAGATGTAATTCTAGTGGGATATTTGGGATTTTAGCATATCGCAACAAAGAAAGGCCAGTGAGTTGCATCACATTCACCATTTTTACCTTAGTTAGCCTTTCTCCCACCATTCTGAGGCGATGGCATCAAGTAATAAAAAGGATATTGTTTTCCTGGATGAGCTGTGCTGTGCCTGTTCCCTCATTGATCCCAGAGCACCTTGTCCTGGCTAAAGGACCTTCTGTCTTTCCAAGTGATGCTGAGCCTTATCAGTCCGCCTCAAAGGCACTGTTTGTTGCCCCCAGGTACTCTGACTTCTTCTTGTGTTTCATCCACATCTTCCTCAGGAGGCTGGGCGTCCCGCACAGGTTGCCTCCCGTCAGCGGCAGGGAAGCTTCTGCTCCCGGTGGCAGGGTCAGGTCATACTCTGCCATCTTCCTCCAGCGCTGCCTGTGGCTAGCAAATAAAGCACAGATGCGTAAAGCATTCATCTCTGTGGCCCTTCTCCCCTGCTTACGACCACTAGCCATTGAAAACCAAGGGCTGCCTGTTTGCAAAGGTATGTCCGTGCCTCGCCTGTCCCTGGGACTGGCAAGTCCGGGGTGAGCAGGGGCTGTGCAGGGCAACGGGCTTGGACATCACCGCTGCCCCTCCCTGCTGCCCCCCCTCCCCTTGGAGCCTCTCCTTGACTTGCTGTCAGGGCGAACACTCACACGAGGGGATGGGCTACAGGTGGGACTGCTACTAGGTGCACCCTCTGTAGCGTTTGCCACCAGAGAAAAAGCTGGTAGGTGGCCTGGGGACAGAGCTGAGCCCTTCCACCAGAGCCCCTGGGACCATGCGGCAGCGCCCCGGTGGGGTGAGCTCCACCTGGCCGAGGGGGCTACGCTGGCTTACACCGGCTGAGGGGGGATTTATGTCTCTGCATACAAAGTGCGAGGACGCTGTGACAATGAGCTTGTTATTGTCCCTCAGGTGGCAATGGCGGCATCTCAGATATCACCCAGATCCGCGTCTGGGTTAACTGTCTACTGATGAGTGCATTTGTACTATGGTCAAGCTGTTCCTTAATTACACTTAAAGACAATAAAGCTTTGTTTAAAAAATATTTAATTACATTTTCTAAACTGCCTTAGGGCAAATATTGTAGACTCCTTAAGGGGAAAATACTTACATTTTGAATCTAGATGCTTTTCTTTCTAGCGATAAAACAGAGCTGTAGCTGGCATCGGAGCAGCTGTATAAATGGCCATGGCTGATGATATAATCAGCATGTCCTTTAGCTGATCTCTCCCTGCCTTTGGAAAGCAAGCGGCATGGCTTTACTGTAAATCATTGAGGTTTTACAGCTGCAATTCAGAGGAGATCTGCAGCTGAGCGCTTCTTTGTGTTTCTGGTGAGAGGGGGACCTGTGGCGGAGGTGCCTCATCCCCTTCCCCACCCCACGCGCAGCCCCCCAGGCTTGGCTGGAGGGGTGGGAAGGGACTTACTCGTCCACAGGTGTGCTGTCTGCAGCCAAGTCTGTGACAGCCACTGATTTTGCTGTATTATGGGCAACCGGCGATGGTGGGAACTGCGGGAGGAAAAAGCACATCATTAGGAAATGCCACTGACGAGTAGGGACCCCAGGTTCGTCCGCGGAAAGAGGCTGTTTTAGGAAAATGAATAAATATTCTAAATCTCTTAACAAGAGAAAGCAGGCTGGCTAAGGACTTGACTGCTCAACTCTTACCCACACAAATACCATTGAACTCAGCACAGGGCTCGTATGAGCAAGAATTACACCTCCCATTGAAGGAGGGAAGCTTGCAGAACTTTTTATTCCCTAGTTTTTATGTCTAGCTTCCCGAGGAGGTGAGGCTTTGTGCAGACTGACCAGCCTGCCTCTTGCAGCTCTTCACAGGCCACCTCTGCCGCTGGCTGGGAAGCAGCTGTCCCGGCCATCGCTGTTTCTTGAGCGTTTAGAAATGTTTCCCTGTTTTGCTGGGTGCTGCTCTGTGGCGTGGGCAGCCCTGGTTCATGCCCCAGTTCTGCCACGACCCCACAAGTGCCTAAAGATCGACTTCCTTGTCTTATATGATCATAAATTGCCCGCCAGAACGGAGTCACATTTTCCCATAAACAGGCCACTAAGACCGGCATGTGCTCCAAAATGGTAAGCTAAAGCATGGGTTGCCCAGAAATAGAAAAAAATATCAAAAATTGTGACGTGCTCTCCTCATTTCAGGCAATAAACACACTTAGTGATTTTACTGGCAATACTGAAAAATGTCTTCATACTATTGTCACTACTATAACTGGTTTTAAGCTGTCTAGGGCTATTTCCCCTGGGATTAATCTGAGAGTGGATATGTTTAGGTGTGCTCTGCAAATATCCCAAGACTTAAAAATGTTTGAAATCACTTTTGCAAGCATCCTTTGAAATTTAACCAGGTTAATTATTGGTAGGTGCAATTAGTTTCATTACACTGAATAGCATTAATTTTGACCATCCTTCTATATTCTACAGTCATTTTTCTCAAGTGTAGCCCAGCTACTAGCTAGCAAGTATACTGCAGCCATCCAAAAGAGCATTTGAAGCCATAAAGTTTTTATAGCATGGTCTGGTGCTGGTCAGAAACTTTTCAAAGGACTATTTTCTGTTTGAAAATCTAGTTTTTATAAAATGTAAGGACTTTGAAAATTGTTTTTTAGTAAGAAAAAGAAGGGAGGGAAAACGTTTTAGTAAAGCCGAGTCATTTTTAACCAAAACATTTTGTCTGTCCATTACAGAACAAATTTTTGTTTTTTGTATGATGATTTTGCCATCAACTCTTTATTGATCTGATTTGATTGGTTGATTTTTTGATTGATCTGATTATCATGTCAGGCTGGCATTCTGCAGAACATAGAATCATAGAATCATTAAGGTTGAAAAAGCCCTCTAAGATCATCAAGTCCAACCGTTAACCCAACACCACCATGACCACTAAACCATGTCCCTAAGCGCCTCATCTACACGTCTTTTAAATACTTCCAGGGATGGCGACTCCACCACTTCCCTGGGCAGCCTGTTCCAAGGCCTGACCACGCTTTCAGTAAAGAAGTTTTTCCTAATGTCCAGTCTAAACCTCCCTTGGCGCAACTTGAGGCCATTTCCTCTTGTCCTATCGCTAGTTACTTGGGAGAAGAGACCAACCCCCACCTCGCTACAACCTCCTTCCAGGTACTTGTAGAGAGCGATGAGGTCTCCCCTCAGCCTCCTCTTCTCCAGGCTAAACAACCCCAGTTCCCTCAGCCGCTCCTCATAAGACTTGTGCTCTAGACCCTTCACCAGCTTCGTTGCCCTTCTCTGGACACACTCCAGCACCTCAATGTCCTTCTTGTAGTGAGAGGCCCAAAACTGAACACAGCATTCAAATTATTTGATGCTTGTTCCACTTTAGAAATTAATTTTTTCCCATTTTGTGAAATTCCCTGAGAAACAAGAGGCTAATTCCTCCCAGCTCTTGCAGGTGGCTGAGCATCCAGAATGGGAGCCTGCCTGTTTCCATCCCACAAACCTTCCTGGTTCCCTGAGGGGCAGCCATCCTATGCCAGTCTCAGCTCCCAGCTAAGGATCCTCTGGCATAAACCATGTCTCAAAGCCTTAACGAAGATTGTGAAATCTGCACATACTGTGACAGACTGACATGCTGTTAATGTGGGACATGCTGACAGGTACTAGGTTTTAAGATGCATCAGACAGTAGTAGTTGGTCTTGCTGTATTTACTTACCAAAGATTTTCCATCCAACAGGTGGTTACAGGACTTGGATGACTCTTGTTCAGTAATTCCCACTGCAAAGCACAAGAAATGTGGCATTATCGGTAATTATCCCATTGGTAGAGCTTGTATTAAAAGCCTCCTTCCATGCAATTAAACCCAGATATGAACAGAACCCAGATTCAGGTTATAGTCCCACTAGATCTGATTATAGCCAAAAGCGCAGAAGTTTCTTCATTATGATCCGCTACTGTGATGTCAAAATAAGTAATTTTGGAATTAAGTAATTCTCGAAAGTCACTCAACTGCTTGCTCCTAGACTTTTCAAATGAGATGATGATGAACTGTCCTTAGCAGACCGAGCTAAGCGGGAGCCCTTCCCCCTCTGCCAACACTCATGTGTATGTACATACAAAGAGCGGTCCCATCTGCTGCTCCTCAGCAGAGGTTGTGTCTTGGAGCCCCCACTGCCAGGGTTGTCCTGCCTGGGAGATCATTCTCCTTTCTGGATTGCCCTGGGGAGTTATTCTCACCTGGGCAGAGATGTGTGCTACATCCACCCCATCACAGGGAGGGATTTCAACCTTTCTGTCTGCCTGTGGCTGAGTGGCACCTCTCTCTGCTGTCCTTAATCCTGGAGGCTACCTTTCGGTTGCAAGTGAGCGCTCAGCCCATAACTTATCCATGGATAAATGCTCACTGACATTCCAAAAACAAATGAGTGAGGGATGCCAGATTTTTTTCATGGAGCCAAATCCTCCCATTTGGCTGTGGGAATGTGGAGATGCCTTTTTTTTCTTTCTTTCTTTCTTTCTGTTCCTGGCCATTTTTGGTTGTCTGCTGTTTTTCAAAAGGATATTCAGGTAAGTGAAGAGCAAGGATCTACAGAAACACCAAGATTCACCAAGACAGAGGATAGAATATGATTCACAACTGCTGTGACCAATGGAATATAAATAACGACAGCAAACATCAGAAATAGCCAAGGTGCTGCTTATAGTGCTGTCTCCAGCATGAGTTAGCAATCAGAACTGTCTTCTCCTTCTGGGGGCAATATTTTACCATGATAAATATCTTAACCAGTGTCTCTCTTCCCGCTCCCCCCCAGTAATTCTATTAGGTACCTAACTGTATCCCTCACATCAAAGTTTAATTCAATTGCCTCCTCTCATCTTGCATATTAGGTACTAACAATATTCAGCAAGTGGCTCCAGGCATCAGTGCTTCAGCTAATGCCCACATTTTTTCTTTTTTTGTTTTGTTTGCTCTTATATTGTCTGATTCTTCCCTTCAGCCTGTCCCTCTTCTTATTAGATATAGGAAATGTTCTGGCAAAGTTTTGGCAAAGTTTTAGCGAAATATGTAAGCAAAAGTAAGTCCTCATCGCTTCAGGTTCATAAGTGCTCTTCAGGACAGCGATGGCTGGGTGTGGTGTGAATTCCACTTCCAGAAGGTGCTATGGGTGTCCAGGCCTGGGAGAAGGGTTGCTCCATGTCTGTTATTCTGACTTGCCCTGTGTTTCCAAGATGGGTACTTGTACAAAAACTTGGTACAAAACTGAGTACTTCTTTCCTGGAGAAAAAGTGCAATTTTTTTTTACTTATCCATCCTGGGAAGCAAAGCACAGCTTTGAGTGCAGTGAGGGGTTTCTTGTTTTGGCCTTCCACTACACTTACTTGCCTTCCTGCATGCTGGAATGCACGGTCCTTATGCTTTGATATTTGTGTAGGGTTTCTGACGCTAGCAGTAAGTGTGCTGCTACTCTCATCTGTGCTCTTGTTTACACATTTTTCACTTCCTCTGGAAGTTGAACTGTTCACTCTGTGACCCAGATTTCAAGTTGTGCTTTACCAAATCTGAAGTCTCTTTAATATTCAACAGTACTTGTCTATGGAGCAAGCATGGAAAATTCTACAGACACAACTATTTCCAGTAAGAAAGTTGAAGAATGATTTTGAAGGGTGAAATTTGTGTGGAGGTCACATTTGTACAGAGATTAATGAAAATAGATTATACATATCCATGCATATACCTCACTTCATATCCCATTATGCTGGCTCTCCAGCTGTTGAGAAACAGCTGGCGAAACCATTCTGGACTCTCTCATGGCACCCTATTCTCTGTGTAGGTATTATTAGTACAGCGTATACTGAAACTGGACACTGCAGCACATCATAGCAAAGAGCTATTTTTATTTTCATACAAATATTTGCAAATATTTCTACTTTCCTCCCCTTAAAATGCTAAATCTGTAAAGTCAGGCACTCAAAAGTTATGAAATACCAGAATTGGACCAAAGTTATTTCATCCCCCCGAGGAGCTAGACATTGAGATTCAGTCTCTAATTTGTGACCAGAAACCATTTTTCCACAGACTTTCTGCTTCACTCATATAGACAGCGTTCAGAAAGCAGTGGTTCATCCTTAGCTTTTATTTCTCAGTGCACAGTCCTATACTTACTTTCCCCATCAGTGAATCCTCTGAGGTCAGAACTATTAATATTGAGGAGGATGCAGCACTGTTCACAGTCAAAGCACAGTTTTTAGTGCAGCAGGAACTGAGTGCTCCCGGGTGTTGGAGTCGGAGGTGTGAAGCAGGCACCCAGAAAAGGGGGATACATCTGCGTGAGGTGACGAGCATCACTGAGGAGTCTGGTGGCAGTGATAGACAGACCTTAGGGAGCTATTGCAGGAGATGCCCTGCTATGGTCCCTGAGCACCTTCTGTGCTGGGGGGAACAGGGATCCGACAAACAGCCTCGCCATGCTGCACAAGCTTAGGTAGCCCTGCAGTAGCTCTCGTCTTGTCCAGATTCTCCTGGTGAGTTTGTCCTCTCCTGTCCTCCTTGCTCCCTCCTTCTACTCCTCAGTCAGTCCTTTTTGTTTTATTTTTTGTTCTAATTTAAACTCAGTTTTTCCCTCTTTCCCATTCAGCATCCCAGTTTCTTTGCCCAATTGCTTTCCTTTCTCCGCCTATGAGAACTGTTTCCTGCTTTTCTGCTCTTCTGTTCAGATTCCTGCATCTTTTCTCCTGTTCGCATCTATCTGTCATTCTTTACCTCTTGTTGCCCCTAACAGCAGAGACCAGCAGTCCCTCCTTTCTTCCCCACCGGCTCTCTGCCACCCACTACCCCACAGCCGGTCCCAGCCACTCCTCCTCCTCTCCCGCCTCCAGCCCCAAAGCCCCAGCTCTTTGTTCAGCTATTTCTTGGCTCTGGTCCCAGTTTGAGATCTTTCCCTTCGGTCCCAAGCTCAGTTTGTTCCTTCCCAGTTTCCCAGGCCCCGCTGTTGTCTGGTCTGTGTTCAAATGGGATGAGCAGTGCAGATGCAGACCAGTGGTGTGAAGAACATGCACCTTCACGGTAGTATCTGCTTTACAGATTTAGCACCCTTTAACAGCTAAATGTCCAATGTCTCTACCAAACACGTGCCATATGGGATTTTTCAAAGGCTTATGACTTGACTGCATCTGGGTGGTTTTTCAAGAGAGAGCAAAAGATGCGTTTTCGATTAAAAGGCCTCCCCTTGCCAAACTGCACGGCCCTGCTCCAGCTTCAACCTTCCAAACATAACACACCAGCATCGAAGGAACTGAATGACCAGTCTATTTATGTTTACTCATTTCCTTGGTTTTGCATTGGCAAACTTTATTTTTCCTTCACGGATTCTCACAAATATGCTGAACAAGTTTTGGTTGAAAAAACAAAATCAGGTCTGTGGCTGACATCCAGAATCTAAAATTTCATCCCAAATAATTATGTTCTGGTAAGGTCTAAGCAGGGATCTTATATAATAAGATATATAATAAGATGACTCAGGCAAACTCAGTGATATGCAATCTATCATCTCTAAAATATTGTCAGCTTTTGGAAAGGGAGTGTTTATGACTGAATAAAGCGAGTTTATGACTCTGAATAAAGTGAGAGCTCTGCAATGCCACGCTTGTTATCTCACTAATATCACCAGACATTTTAAGCATGGAAGTATTCTTCAGGTACATAACAAATTGCCTGCTTTGCTGCAAACTGGAAGACTGCAATATCTAAAAATGTTCTGAAGCCACAGAGGAATAAAGCCACTTCTGAGGACTTACTGTGCTGGGCAGTGCCCTTGGCAGGGCAGGGTCCCTGCTGCCCGCTCTGCAGGCAGTCCAAGCCCCGCACCTCGTCTTCGCTGCACAGCACCTGGAGGAGGTCACCCTGGTGGGGCTGTAGCTTCTCTGTCCTGTGGGGCCGACGATCGGATACAGCTACCACCTACAGGGAAGAGGCAAAATCATCCCGTTACACACAGCCTTGGAAATAAGGTGGTCTGTCAAGGTCATGGGGGAGCAGCATGGCGCTTGCTCTTCCCACTGCTTTACTGTCATCCAAAGGGGATTTTGTTGGGTGGGGACTGTGAGATTTGAAGGGTTTGGTTTGTTTGGGTCCTGCCTCCATGCATGGATGTGTAAAAGCATGGGAAAATTAAGTGCGGTCTCTCTGGGACCCAGCTACTTAGTTGCACCTTTCTGTATTCTCCTCAGGAGAAGGAAATGTGGTCCTTTTCAAGACCTACTGAATAGGATATGCCTTTGAGACAGCTCCAATTTAATTTCTTATTGCATCATATCTTGGGCAATCAGTTAAACTTATGCAATGTGAATTACAAATGCTATTTCCTCATGGCCTCTCCTGTCTTTTGGACTTATTTACATTTTATACCTGGTAAACGACTACAGAGGATACAAGGTAGTGAATAATTGTGCTCCTAGAGATTAATTTTCACAAACATTAGCTTGCACAAACAAAACTCACTGAGAGCTGCATCTTGGAACAGAGTCCCTGAAAACGAGCATGAACAAAACCAGGTTCTTTTCTACATCGATCACGACTGAGCCATGGCACTCACTGTGCTGCCACGGGCAACTGGGGAGGCCAGAGCTAATGCGAGCTTAAAAACCCAGGGATAGGCTCCAAGCAGGTGGATCCATCAGGACTGTTATCCAGGATGGTCTGGAAACAATTTTCTCAAGAAGATTAAAGTCCCGACAGCAGGGAAAGATATTCTTCTCTGAAGACTTGTTACTGTCATACAGAGAACAAGTTACGCAGGGCGAAGATCCAAACCAGCAAGGAAACAACACACGTGGCAACTATTCCGACTGTTTCCTATTAGACTTACTTATGTTGATCTTAAGTTGGAAGACCAGGACAAAAGCAGTTACTTGCATCTAACTGATGACTAATAGTTGCCATCTACTTGTTTTATATATAAATACAGTTATTTTGTCTCAAGACTGAGACCAGCAACTGACCAGTCCGCTATTGGCATAGAAAAGCCTTAATTCCATCTATTGCTCTGCCTTCTAAGATACACTCAAGATAAAAACAAGACCGCATTCAAGCATGTCCCCTCACACAAAATTGTCCATTTTCTTTAAGTAAGTTTTAATTCAGTTTGCCATTAATGTGCAACATTCTATGTACGTGAATTTTTACACAGATATAAAACCACACGCAAACCTATGTTTTCCAAAACAGGAAAAAAGAAAAACCCCAGCCTGACCACTTTTTACTCTTTTGATTCCATGTACCCTCAGGAGTCTGGAGAAGGCTACATGACCTAGATCCTCCTGATAAGCAGCACAAGGAGCAGAAACTGCCCAACAGCAGGCAAAAATACTGCTGAAAAGGGCTGGTGAGGCAACCAAAGCCTAATCCAAGGCCTAAGAGGGGTTTTCTCTTAGTTCTGTGGATTTTGGCACGCAGCCTGACACAGTCCCTGCTCCATAAGCTACTTAAGGCGTGCCCAGTGTTAAGTTAAAGTCAAAGGGACTACTGGTGTCCTTGAAGACAAGCACGTGCTAAAGGAGGCTGCGGCTGGAGCCCATCTCTACTGACCACGAATCTGGTGCTGCCGGACAGAGCCGAGCCTCAGCATCACTCCGATAATTCAGAAACGAGGGTGATGCTGGTGGTGGGAGGCCTCCTGTTGCTACTTAAGCAGTTGCCATTGGCTCTCTCCCAGCTGCCCTTGGACCAGTTCCAGGACCTCCCCATCCCTCTGCAGCAGCTCCTCGCAGGCTGCAGGCTCCCGTGTCCACGCAGGAGGGGTGTGCAGCCCACTGCATCACCCTGATCACCCGAACCTTGCAAGCTGCTTACCAGAGGCATTACCCCCACCACCACAGTGACATCGGTGGAGACACCTGCCTTCATTACGGATATGATGAGGCAGTGGCTGGCAGGGGTCTCTCATGACAGCCCTTGGAGCCAGACTCACGTGAAGTGAACTCTTCCAGCTGTCAAAGAATGCTACAAAGCTCACCTTTCCCACCAGTTCTGGAAATATGTGCAGTACTCTTGGTCACACTCAGCCTTCTTAGGTGTGTGATAGAAAATGTCTGCAACTCTCTGCTACTGTGACACCTGAGGTCGCTCCTTTTGCATGGTCACAGAAAGAGCATTTTTGGTAAGTAGGATGCTGGCTGCAGTCATCTCTAATCCTGGAAACGGCTTATTTGATCAGTGTAAACCACCACGAACTTGAAACTTAACAATCTGCCTATGCATTGCAAAGGATGAAATTTAGTCTGGGGAAAGGAAGCAGGATTTTAAACTCCATTAATAGCTGGAATTATTTAGGAGCGTTGTCTAAGTTTTCAAGATTCCTTGTTACATGTCATATCAGCAATGCCAAAATGGCTTCAAGCAGAAGAATCTGTATAAATAAGTTGCAATGCCATTTTCCATTACAACTGGAGACAACAGCGCAATCTCTATAGCACATCTTCAGTTAGCATCTTTGTTTGCAGCATTTGGCTGTAGTACACTTTTGGAGTTTCTTATCTCCTAATTCAAGAATTCACCGTGACTTTGGCTACCTCAACCATTACTGTAATATGTAAAGACTTATCTAGGTCAGGAAACTAAACCTGCTGTAGTGCAGTTTTGATCTAAACCGGAGCTGACATTTCTCTAGGGTACCTAGGGTAAGGCAGAAGGATCAGCTGGAAGTCACTTTTCTTTTCTAGATGTACCAGGGAATTTAAATCTGTGTGAATGGCAGAGTCAGCCAAACTATGCAAAATTAGCAAACTGCTCTCTAAATAACTACTGTTTTTAGAACCTGTAAGTCACTTGGCTGGCTCAGTCTGTTTGCAGGACGCTGACTCTGAATTCAGAGCTCATCAAAGTCTCTTTTTTATGGATTTTACCTCTTGGCATACCCACTGTTGGAACTAGCTGTGTTAAGCAGGGAGCACAGAGGACAGGAGGGTTGCAGAGCAGTGCAGAGGATGTTCCAACAACCCAGCCAGTGCTCCTCGACCCAAAATCCCACCGCCAAACCAACAACCAACCAGAAAAGGTGACAATTAAACATCTGGCTTTGGATAAAACTTTGAAGCTTAGAGGCTGAACAACGAAGTGTTTGTTAGTGGAGGAAATACCAGATTTGTAGAGTTAAGCTCTTTTTGATGGTTTAATGCTGATCTAATTTTTAATGTGGCACCACTAGCGTGCACAGAGGCATTTGCCATTTTTCTGCAAAGTAGCCAGGTACTGGTGTCCAGACAGTTCTACCCAAAGGATTTTGCGGCTAGAATAGCAAGGGAAGAGAAGGGAAGGATCTACTATCACTGGAAATAACTCTTAATAGGGCAATAGGAACTGCAAATAAGCATATTGGTGAAACACTCAATTAAAAAAAAGGTATTTCCCCCTTTCTCTCACCCTTCCACAGTCAGGATTGTGCTTTTGGGATGGGTTCTTGAATGTGATGGAAGTTAACCCCCAAGGTCAGTCATTTGAATCTTAAATCACTTAATGCTACACTGCTTGAGTATTTCTGTTGCGAAAAAAAGGTCTGGCAGATGTCCATGTTGCTTGCTATTTTTGCCCTTGCTGAGGATTAAAGTTGTGCATCCACTGCAATCACCAGAGCAGATTTCATGTTAGCTGAGGCATTTCTGCAGCACTGACTGCAGGTGCAGCAGTAAAAGTGAAAAATAAATAATCATTCTGCTACTTTTCTGTGGGTCTAGAAATTGGTAATCACAACTTTGTCCCAGGCACGTATATTCCAGTACGTGCAATTTATTTGAATGCTTGTGCATGAGCTGTAAGCAGCTGCATCGCACTGAAGAAGGGGAATGCACAAGTCTAAGAGTTGACTGTGCCAATTGCTTTGGTTTGAGAGCCTTGCTTGCTTTCTTAGCTGGAGCTGCAGACCGTTCCTCAGGCTTGGTGCTCCCACTGCTAATAAGGTGCTGCCTGCATCATGACTAAGGGCCAATCAAAGGACATCTTTAATTGGAGTCAGGAAAGCCCCAAAGGAAAAAAAATCCTCTAAAAACACAGCAACAAAACAGGGACTTTCTTATCTTATTTTCTTAGACCTTTATGAGTATAGTGCTGTTACAGCAGCTGATCCAATCCAAATTAAATATTAGAGGCTCCCACTCAGCAGAAACAACAACTATCTGATGAGATTTGGAACATCATAACAAACATACAGTTGCCCTAGATTTCAATGAGAGCTAGCTGCAAAATTGCCAGCTAACTAGTTTTATGAGAAAATTCTGGTTCAAAGAAATCTGGGCATTTTGTTGGAAAAGTATCTATTTTATCAAAAAATGGAGGGAGAAATTACCTGAGCATTCTGTTTTTTTAAGTCAGAATAGTTCACTTGGGTTTGGACCTTTCTGCTATTTTTACATTGTGGGACAAACAAAATATACCAAAGGCATAACAGATAAAAAAGGAGTATCTCAAAATGGCTTATTTTGAGTAACACTCCGACACTGACTTTCATCCTCATTTGGAATGAAAAGTAATTTTGAAACCTCTGCCTGAGTTACGGGACAAAAATAAGATTTTTCACAATTTGAGAAAATACACAGATACATAGCTTTTACTCAAACACCACAAGCGTGTTATTGACCCTTCCTGGGGGCCACTTCAGGCCCCTGTGAAGTATTGCGATCCTGTGATCTGCTTTAATAATCAAGAAAGGGGATGGGAGTAAACGTGGCGAGTTTTTTTCCAGTGCACGGGTAAGTGTGGTAAGCAGGAGGGACCTACGGTGCCGTGGGGAGATTAGGGAATCAGGAATATGAAGAGAAGGCTATTTACAAATGAGGATGGGGCTGGGAAGTAGGATAGGGCATGGGAAAAGGAAAGACCATGAGGCAAAATATTTCATCAAAGTGCTAGAGAAGAGACAGGTCTGTAGTGAGAAGAAATGCTTTGGCAGAAGAGTCTCAAAGCTTGTAAAAAGTGCTTTGATATGCACAAAAGAAAAAGGCTGTTATTCCTGCAAGTCAAAACTGCGATAAAAGGATCGTGGAAGGGGTTGTGAATGGGCCAAGTGGATTCAAGGAGGGAAAATTTGCTCTCAAGCCCAAACCAATGTGTCGAAGTGTCCAAACTTGGAAAACGTTTTCTCAGAGCATGAAAAATGTTCAGTTCTTTTACTGTTGCTGTTATTGTTATTTATTTGGTCATAATAATTGGGGGCAAAAATATTTACAGACCTATTGAAGAGAAGTGTGGGGAACAAGAGTCCCTCATACAGTGAAGGGAAAACAGAGAGGGGGCAGAAAAAAGCTGAGACTGCGCAGCACAGTGCTGCAGGAGAGAGGGCTGTGCTGGGTGGTGGGGCTGGGCATGGCTGGGTGGGAAGGAGAGGACCATGCCTGTGCCCAGCTGCAAGCCGCCACCTTGCTCTTTAGCTGCAGGTTGATCCCATGCCGTTCGGTTGGGCTCTTTTGCACGAGGGCCATGAAAATGGCTTGTGCCCCAGCAGCAGCTGTGGTAGAGCAAAGGGGGAACTGGCTCTTCTTTGGGGCTGTGCACACCTCGCCTTCATGATTAAAAATATCAAACCACTTACTGAGAGAGAGCTCAGTTGTTAGTTTTCCTCTGCATTTGTGAAGGGCAGGCAGAGTAGAAAATGGAGTCAGAGATGCTTCCATTGGGAGCTTAGCTTATTGAATTTGGGGGGGCACCTCACCTGCAGGGAGTGGGGAAAGCTCCAGATGTGCCCTCTGTGCTGGTGCACCGGGGGTGAGTCCAGGACAGGCAAGAACCGCTGGGATCAAGGGACAAGCATTCTCCTGTGGCTCTCTCAGAGACATCTTTTTGAGTTAAGGTTACAGTCCATTGCTTGGTGGTTTTATCCCAAATTCTCTGGGGAATGTGATACTGGCTCCTTGATTAATGCATGTATGTATTGATACGATTTGTTTGCTTTTCATTCCTGCCTGTCCCTCTGGCACTATTATTAGGGCTTTATGGATAAGAATTAAGTCTGTGATTCCCTCAGATGACCCGTGTTAAGCTGTTATGTTCATTTTGACTGGCTCTGCACAGACAGACTGTATTTTTTCAAGTTTCAAAGCGCTTCTGTAAATAAACTGTAGCTTTACAGAAACTCCCCTTTCTGGTTCACGCCCCACTCCCTGCGTCAGACACTGATGCACTTCTTTGCCCTGAAAGATCCGCTTCCCATTTATCCATGGCATTTTTAAGGATAAGTGTAGCCAACTAGAATAAAAATAAAAAAAAAAAAGAGGGAGAGAAAGGGAGATTTTTCTTACGCTCTTTGTTAGGATGTGCTGCGTGCTTTTGGCTCGTCTTCGGGCAGGACTACATGCTGTGAAAAGAAGAACAGGAACACGGTCAGGGTGCAGTGGAGGTGGACAAGATGAGGTTACACATGCCTCTAAAAGTCCTCCGTGAGAATACATTGGGGGCATGGTGGGGAGGGGGGGGAGAAGGAAGGGTTTAAGGAGGATTCCAGCTGAAACAATCCAAAAGAAAGTCTTTTTTAATGTTACCTCAGAGACCATGCTCTAGCTATACAATACAGACATCTGTGGGCACAGGGCAACAGCCTTCCCCAAGGTTCTGCACCTCTCCCATAGGCTTCCAGAAGGAACCGTCCTTCTCCCTCCTGAGTTTTGATCTGGCCTCCCATCTGCCACTGTTTCAGAAGGAAATGAGCTTCTCTTTCCATCCAGTCACCTTCAAACATGACCAGTGTATACATTAACTTTGGAGAGCCCTATCATTTTATCTAGATAGCGACTTTTTCAATAAGCTCAGACTGCTTCTTGACATCATTTCAGTTTTACTGCATGTTGTCCAAAGCACAACATTTGCACTAACCCTAGTCTTTTCTTTTTCAATCCTCAAAATGACCCATTCGGTTCTTTAACTTGGGGTATTTTGCTTAAAGTCTGTTTCTCAATTTTATTTCTTAAACCGATGAAGACATCAAAATCATAGGCAAAACAGAATTGCTCACCACTGGACACACAAGATGCCAGGACTATAAGCCAAGCTTTTGACTGGACCGAAGCAATTGGTTTTGGGTGGGGCTTTTTTTGGACAAAGTGAAGATTGTTTAAACACTTTCTGTTTCAGTTTGACTTGAAACTGGCCTGAAAACCTCAGTGATACTCCCACCTCTCTCTCTCATCATATCTTACCCTTTGCCCTTTAAAGTTATTACCCTGCCCCGTGTTCAGGATACAGGAGTCATGACTACAGGACTTAGCAGCCAGTGACAGACACAGGCCTGCAAAAAACTGCCAAATTTGGAGAATTAACTCCAATTCTAAAGACCGACCCTGAGGGCAAGGCATGTGAATGGGGGTTTCCTACTCAGGCTCTATGTATAGTCCAAAGGCTTTGAAAAGCCAGGAGGGTTTGTTATGGGATGATGGGTGACTCTTACCCTCCAGGTGAGTTTTCCTTTTTGGCATACATTCAACTCCAGGAGTTGCAGTGCTCGTCCTTGCTATGTATTAATGTTTGCAAAGAGTTTTGAAGCTGTGGAAGCAGCTGGAGTTCACTCAAGGCTGCTCATTTCTGCAGCCAAACTCCTCTCCTGTGATGGCAGGAATAACAAGTGACTGGGCTTTCCAGGGCTCTGGTGCAAACAGAGCCGGCAGTGGGACCAAAGTTATTCTTCCTAGCCAGCTTGTGTTTGTCTAAAAGCCACCCCTTGATACCCCAATGAGGATGTAAGTGCTGAGCATTAGGACCCCACTGGCTAGAAATAAAGTTTTGACCAATGCTCTGCCCACAATGAAACAGGACAGGAACATGGGAGGTGATAAATCTTGTCCAGGGTCCCTGCCAGCGACCTGTTGCAGCACAGGGTACTTCCACGCTGAACTCATCACAAGTAACTTATCTGCCGGTATAGAGCTTGAGAGTGTGCTAAGCTGTCAGTTTGATTACGGCCTGTTTTGCATGGCATGATATCCTCAGGGATCCCTACTGCCTTCTCCTGCAGGACACGTTTTATATTTTAAACCATGGTGAGTGTGGGATGAAAACCACACAAACATAATGAAGGTGTTTTTTTTCCTAGGAGTATGTTGTAACTTGCTTTTGAAGCTGCTGCAATCGCCTTTACTTCTGGAATTTCATCGTGTGAGGACTATACTAATTGCTTGCAAGCAAAACACGCAAGTGCAGAAAAGTGTAGTGATGCAAGGCATCATCTTCATGACTCTCTGGTATTGTATGTATTTTACTGGACAGTGTAAGGAGCACAGTTTATATAGATTTCTACCAGAAGCAAGTACTGTTGTGCTGTTACTGGTACCCAGGCTGGCGCACAAGGAACAACACATAAATGTGTCCAGGTAATAAATTTGCGTATTTTCAGAGTACATATGATCCACAGTTCAACTCACTGCCTGTCGTCTGCCGGCACGAGTGGCAAATGGCTTACAGGGGCTGAAGAAAGACAAGTCACAGCACCAGCAAATATGCAATTACTTGAATAGCCATTGAACAAAGAGTGAATCAGGGAGGTAGCCAGAAGTGACCCACTTGCGCAGGAACACAATGGCAGCAATGCAAACAGTGGGGCTGCAGGGCTCTCCCTGCAAACACGGTTTTCTGCAGGGAGTGGGAGCAGGAAGGGAAGAATGAATCCTTGCAGATGATGTTTCTGGATTTGCCTGCAAAAGGATGTTTGTATGTACAGCCCAGCTTTCGGGCAACAAAACCAATTACAGTGATGGTTCACTTTGTCATTTCCACTTACATTCTGAAATTAAGCAGCTGAGAGCTCATGCTCGCAGCTTGCAAGTAAAGATCTGATCTGGCCCCACAATTTGTTTTCCCTGCTTTTACCTGCTTTCTTTTTCTTGTTGCTGAAATATGCAGCTATTGAGTTTAAACTAATTTGTTCAATCAAATGCAGACTGGGCTTTGTCCGGTTCTTACTCTTCATTACAAGCAATTAATGTTAATCATGCATTCATTTCCAGGGCATGGCTTTGGAAATGTTCCACTTATTGAGCCAGCAGACTTAAATTCAACATTCATGCAGTTCACCCAGTTCATCTGAGCTGCTAACTGCTCGCAGAACTTCATTTTCTTTTCTATTACACAGAATAGCCACACAGTTGCAAGCTGTCACTTTAGCAATTACCTCATAGGTATATCAACACCGATTCCAGATCTCCCAATTTTGCTAGCGCAAGGATTTTACACAGCCACAATGTCGAAGCACCTGCACGGATTAGCTCCAGAAACAAGCAGCGAGCGCTGGACTGCAAGCAAAGCACGACACGGCAGAACAGATGAGCTGCTCACTTCAGAGATTTCCCTGATGCTAAACACCCCATCCATCCAAAACACAACACCGTAGCGGTTGTTACAGTTTTGATGTACTCACATTTGGATGAAATCACAGTGGTGAAAACTTCTAAATTTTCGTCGCTGCAGCTGTAAATCTGGTGCATTTTCCACCTCTCCCTCCTGACTGCCTTTCAGCTTCATGCAACCGCTCTGAACTTCTGGTAAATAGGTTTCACTAATCCAATCTGGCTCTGTGATCATTGTCCAGATCTACAAAGGACAGACTGATGCTGTGATCTCATCTCATTCCATATTCTTCATTGCAACATTTTCTTCTCCCATCTGCCTTTCTATGAATACTATTAATGCAAAGATTTAATTTAGCTGTTACTTAACCCTCTGTTCAGATAGAAGCATTTTATTTTATGTCTGCTTTTACCAGTTTGGAGAATCCTCTACAATAAATGGCTAATAATTAAAGTCTATTCTGTGCAGCCAATGTATAGGCAAATAAATATTTACAGAAGTACTGCAAGGATTTTTAAAATAAGTTGGTTTAATGCTTTGTGTACTTTAACACATTTATTGCAAAAATTTGCTCTTCCCATATAATGAGGAGCTGATTCTAGGTGTATTAAGAAAAGCATTTTGTGCTTTGCCTTTTACATTCAGAAACTAGTACCTGAATCCTGGGCACTTCAGTGTAAAATTTCAAATGCAGATTACTAAAGAAGGGCACATCAGGCAGATGTACATAGGTCTATATGCCCCTACACTTCAGTGGCTGCAGAGAAAGGGCAGGTGGCTCAGTCATAGATGGGTTCCTACATGACTTGATGGTTCTGGGGCCTAAATCCATATTTATACACTTCAATAAAGGGTCTTCGTGCCAAAGCTTTTCATTCCTTAATGCTCCCATCAGAAATTGTTCCTTTCCACATCTACGAAAATCAGCCCCCTCAACTTCTGGTGACTTACTGCTGCCATGGACACCTAAGATGATAGAAAATTTTGCTTGCAGGCTCCAGCAACTGACGTAGCAGAAACACTTTCAAGTGTGAATAATGATATCAAATTACATCAGCCTAATGAATAGCCTTCATTACTAGCACGTGTGTGTAATTAACACAAAAACTAGTGCTGTCTTCTCTTATAGACGTCTGCCACCAAGAGTCCCAGATGGAAAGTGCCAACAAACATGGGCTGTCACTGTCATATTCACATAACGTTTCTTATTTGAAGTAATAAATATTGGTCAAATACACATCCCGAGCCTGGAAGCATTTTGGTTGAGCGGAAGGTCTCACTGTTTCAAGAAAGAAATGAGTGAAGAGAAGCTGGTATCACTTGTCACCTCCCAGGGCAGCCTCCTGCTGTCCAGGGGCAGCAAAGCCATTGCGGGGCTGGGGGCATTGTCCCAGGAAACCATGCCGCGTTTGAAACGGGCAGTGGGACAGCAATATAATTAAGCAAAAGTTCAATTAGTTTTTGATTTATTGCGCCACATGTTCTGCTTGTATGACTGATGTCATTAACATCAGGCTCGGCTGGCGTGTTCATCTGTCCCTGCCCGGCTCCCTCTGAAGGCGCACACACTCAACAGATGGGGAGCTGCACGGGCGCGAATGCAATTGTTTATCCCCCTATTGTTCCTATGTCAAGCAATCAAACCAAATCCATTACCCACCGAGAAAAAGATCAGCGCACCGTCCATTCAGCAGTGAATGGAGCAGAGGCGGTTATGCAGGGAGGCTTTAAAGCTTTCAAAAGGATAAAAAAAATAATGAAGAGCAACACTGAATAGTTGACCAAAAAAAAAAAAAAGCTATAACAAATCTAACCCACCCTTTATTTCACCTTTGGATATTCAGAGTCCTATAAGAGGCACTTTTGGATCTGAGTCATTGTTTTCCTAGTTATAGGTATGACCTAAAGATATTTTTAAATCATAGATGGGGTTTAACATCAGAACAAATATTTGGTGTTTCATCGTGTTGAAGGGTGGTGGGGATGTGGAAACTGAAGTGAGACTCGAGAGCTGGTTACCAGCTAGCATTCACGGCTTTATAGATTAGGTTTTGAGCAGGTAGGCTTTGAACACCTACCTTTACAAGGGACATGATGCTCTGGGGATGAGTCACTCTCTGTGCAGAGAGTTGACAAAAGGCTCTCACATCACTGCCACAGAAAAATAGGGCTCGGGAGGGCCAATATAACCTGTCTCATCTGGGAATGAATTTTCCCCTGTTCACAAAAGGGAGTTTGCTGCTTCATTCTGCCCAGATCTTACAGGGTAGTCGAGCACTATGAATGCTCAGGGTTTTGCAGGAAATCTTAATGTGGCTTCAAGAGAAGGACTGCACATATCGGGCTACTTTTTTCTAGCTGTCCCTGAGTTATTTTGGACAAATATCTTGGTCTATCTAGCTACAAAATAGGTGTGATAACACCTGCCAAAGAAGTGTACTATAAAGCTCAACTGCATGCAACCTGCTGAAGAATAGCAGGCAGTAATTTTAGACTTGAGGAAGATACTCTCCATGATGTCCAGCCTAGGGACTGCTTGCAGAGCCACATCAGACGATTTCACATAGTATCTCCCTCCGGCTTCCTACTGACCTAGCAAGAGTTCAGTCTGTGGTGGGAGCAGGAAACCAAATGTTTATTGATCCTATGAATCCTTTTTTTATTCCCCATATTGCATAAAATATCTAGAAAATAGGCTCAAATTTTTCCTCACTGCTAAACACGACTAATAAGCTATTAATTTAATTCACGTGGTGCCGCTGCAGCCATGAGAAAACCCAAAAAAGTTTTTGCACCAGCGTATATCTTTGACTGAAGACTCCCAAGCCAACATGTGAAATCCAAATGCCTCACTGTGGGCTGTGATATAGCTGTTTACCAAAGACCTGAACTCCCGTTGTTGTCAGTAAAAGGATGAAAACATTTGCTGGTGCAAGAACTTGGCGACCAAAAGTGAATGGGGACAACTGAGGAGGAGGAAGAGGACAACTCAGGACACAAGAACAGACATATAGTGTTTGACAAAACATCCATCTAACTTGATCTGCAGGTCTGGGACAGGGAAGGTATTTGATTTTTTGGAATGTGGGCAGAAAGGAAGGAAAGGTGGAGAAGGGGAAGAGCCGTATGCTGAGGCTGAGGTAAAAACAACTGGTGAAAACAGCAGAAGGCTCAGCGAACCTTGTCAACACGGCAGAAAATCCCATAAACCGGGTCCCTCTGGGGAGGTGGTGAGGGTGCTTTTCCCATGGGGTGGATCTGTTCAGCCACTTGTGGAAGAAACAAGTGTAGATGCTTGTCCTGTTTACCAAGTGTGCCAGAGCTGGTAAACTTAAAAGGAATCAAATAAAAAAAAAAAAATTATGATTAGAAAAGCTGTAATTAAAACTTTGAGTGATTTCAGATAAGTATCAGAAACCTCTAGACCTTATTTATCCCTTTATGGGATCGAATGCACCCTCAGCAGGTTTGCAGACGACACCAAGATGAGTGGTGCGGTTCATACGCCTGAGGGATGGGATGCCATCCAGAGGGACCTGGACAAGCTCCAGAAATGGGCCCGTGTGAACCTTCAACAAGGTCCTGCACCTGGGTTGGGG